AAGAAAAAAAAAAAGATAAGAATCTGCCTGTGGAAAACAAAATGCCCTGTGGAAAACTAACATTTTTATGACAAAATTCAGAAAAGTTTTTCAGACTCTGAATGCAAAGGTAAGAGAGGACATTTCATGTTCTCTTGGAACGCAGACGGCAAGGCTGCTCTTTCTGCTGCTTGGCGGGAACAGGGATTTGAAACAGAGTCTAGCAACTTCTCTATGAGAAGAATAAAAATGTTTCAGTTTTACTATGAGGAGTCAGGATACCTGCAAATCTTACTGCTTTTCATAAACAAAAATCTTTTTTTTTTCCCCAGAAATTTCTATGGACAATTCAGTGTTGAATGTGACAAGAGTTGACTCAATACTCAAGATCTCCCTGTTGCTTTCCTGCCTTCATTTTTTGCATGTGCCTTCTTGGACAAATGACAAAAACAGCAAGTTTTGAGATAGCCTGCAGGACTTTAGGGGGGAACCACCAGCAGTTTTGTGCTGGCTCAAAACCTTCTGAAACCTAATGAGAAGAGAAAGAGGGTTTTTTTTTTTTTTGTGGGAGCGGGAAGAATTCTTTAAGCAGAGGAGTTCTCTCTGGTGACTGGCAAGGGAATACAGATAGGACTTCGAACAAAGGAAAGGTTGTCTGTAAATTTATTTAGATCATTGGATCACAAAACTGGCTTGAGAGAGATGTTCTCTGTTAATTTAGCCTGAACCATGATATAGTGTGTATCTCCATAAAAGCTAGAGCTAATGATGAGAAAAAGCAGCTTTTCAAGAATTCTACAAATATTTATTATTTTCAGTATTTTCATTTTGTTTTGAATTACAAGGCACTTTTATTTTGCAAATTTAGATGGGTTTCCTTGTAATTTGCTTTCCATTGGTGTAAACCACCACCTCTGGTTTCCTTTCCAACCTAAGTCTGATGTTAAAAAACGAAGCAAACAACAAGCCCCTAATGACACGAGAACTTGCACTGACTTGTATTCTTAATGAATTCTTATTTGTCACCATCTATTTTAATTGCTTCAAGTACTGGTGTCCATTTAGCTGTTGTCTTTTGAGCAAAGCTTGAGAGAATCTGTATCAACTATCTTGTGGTTCTGCAGTAGCCATTCTTGAATCTCACCTCACACTTCACCTATAAGTACTTTTGGTCAGAAAGTCAGTTAAATCCTAGTGTCTAAATCAGAATTTAATTGCCCTAGTCAACCTTTATATAATATAATTTATACTATATTAATTTATATTTTACTTATATAATCAATATACTGTGGTTAATCGCTACTGAAATGATATCTAAAAAAGCAACATAAGCTGTATATCCAGTATTGCGTCCTTCCCTACATTAATATGAAGGTAGTTTAGCAAACTAGCTTGGATAATAGTGGTTTAAAATTGTGTGACCACCAGTTCTGCCTTAATGATGACTCACTGTTTATGGCACTGTACATATTTGTTCTGCACAATCAACTGCTGATTCTGATTTGGTTCCTACAATACATGTGATCAAGCACGAAATGTTTTTTCACTTTGCACAAAGAAAGTCAGATGATGGGATGGGGCAGCAGACGGGGAGATGGCTCTGACTTGTATCCTGAGACAAGTTCATAAATAATACTCAGCTGCTGTTTAGGGAGTTAAATGAAATAGCTTCAGATTCAGTGATATAATAGATTAATTAGATTTTCTTTGTCTCATTTAACCCAAGACTTGCAGAAAACATCAGTCTAAGCTTTAAGGCATGTAGAATTTATAGGACATGTTGACGAAACTGTATTTTTTCACAGTGGATTTTCCACTGTGTCCGTTTCCTGAGAACATCCCGAGGTGTCCAAGAGGTTGTGTTCCAGGCCCAGAGAGGTGCCTGCCTTTTGACCTTCGTAATGAACGCTGTAGTGGTTGCATCTGCTTCACTTGCAGGAGATGGACTTGGTTGTGTTTCACGTTTGAGTTAGTAACAGAGGCTGGCGGGCAATTGGAGATCCAGACGCTCCCTTGCTACTGAGTAGAAAGTGTATTTCATCTGTGCACTCTTACAGCCACGAGGTATTTGGCTTCTGACCAAACAGAGCTTTAACTAACAGAAGTAAGATAATATGTGTCTCAGGCATGCCTGATAACATTGGATCAGAGCAATCATATGAGCCCTAATCCTGCAAATGCTCAGGGACAAGCTTGACTCTAAGCACACAAGTAAAACCAGAGATGAAAGTTTTGCCTACTGTTAACTGTATTGTGTAACAGACTTTTAATATTAATGGACTTTTACGAGTAACTTTAACGAGTTATGTATGGTAAAAGTCCCTCTGACTTGAAGAGTGCCTGATTATAACCAAGAGTTGTATGTGAGGGATAGTGCTATGTGCCTCAAGATAAATGGCTATGAATAGAGAGACTACAAATGCATCAATAACAAGAATTAGAACTGGAGAGAGGAGCTAAATACATTTTTTTTTGAAACTGTTAGCTCTACTCAAGTAATATTTGTAGAAGTTTGTAATCAGGTGGGAAAATATGATCTGTTTACCTCACAGCAGCACATGTTGGTGTATGAAAGCCAGGTATTATAGCTGACTTCGTGGAAAAAAGCCTGCTTGTTTCTGCATACACCAGTGCTGAAGTTTGCAATGCACCCTCAGAAGCTAAGGGGTCTCCTGCAAAGTGAAACACATATTGAACAAGACCAAATGAAGAGAGAGTCAAGTACAAGCCACAGCGTAATCTTATGGATCTAAAAGACTGAATCTGTCTTCTGTTATAACCATTTCAATATGACTATACTTGCTTTCAACCTCTTTTTTTCTCTTTCTTTCTCCTGAATTGTCCTTTTCTTACTGTCCTTTGACAAGGCTGACTGCTCCAGTGGAGGCAGACTAACTGGAAAAGGTCAAATCTACGTTTCGTGCCATAGTTCATTGATTTTATCCCAGTAAGTTACACCAGAAAAATATTTGCCTCTTTGGTGACAAGTTTCTGAGTGTACAGAACCAGAACTGTGCCTCATTGCTGTTGATTCTTCTCTGAGCATTCACTCACTGTCAAGAGAAGTACTTTGGTACTTCAGGTACCTCTACAAATCCATCAATTTTCATAATTTGCCTTCTTACTGAATGTGGAGAAGGCAAATAGTTCCAGCACACTCAAAACTTGAAAAGAAACCCTAGCTCTTCCTGTCCCAGAGAAATTTTAGGAAACCACTTGTCACAGACATATTCAGTTATGGTCACAGACAGAAGCAAAACTCATTAATGTCTCCTCAGAAACCTGTTTCAAAGCATCAGTAGTTTTAAAGAGTGAGATCAAGGAAGAGATTAATTCTTTCAATTATCATTAAGAGTACAAAATTACTGTTACTGATTCTATCCTGTGTCATCTAGAAAGTTGACTTGATTTCTGTTGTAATTCAGTCTACATGGTTTCTTTATTTTCCTTTTCTATAACTCCTTATGCATCTACTTTCCTCTCTCATAGAGGGAGTAATTAATAATGCATTGATTAATGTGACTTTTGACCTGAGGATACAGTGAAAATGGATTAAATGGACAAGATGAAGGTGGGAATTGGAGCAGAATGTGGAGCTCATTGAATTGTGTTGCTGGTTTTGCCTTGCCAATATGCCTGTTAGCTAGTTTCTGAATCAGCCTGTCTTGCTGGACAGAAAAGACATTTTTCTTTCCTTCCTTTTTCCTGACGTAATTCAGTGGATATGCATGGGTCCTTGGGCAAATGTCTTTGTAGTTGAGAAACACAAGCTATTTGATGGGCATGTAAGCATAGAAATCTCTTTGAGGAGGACAAGTATTTGAGGTCTCTACCTTTTCCCTGCTGCTTTCTCTATGCTCTTACTCTTTTTACTATCGGCCTATGAGATAGAGCGATATCCTGGGTTTGCTGTAGTGACCTGTTTGTTGTTTCTCAGTGGTTAATTTTCTTCAGCTTTCCTGGCTTCTGCTGCCCAGGTTTGGTACAGAGACTGAAGCTTAGAGGCATTTGTGGGATTCCAAGCAGTAATTGTATTCTCCTCAGCACTGCTACTCCCTTGGAGCACTATAACTACTCAAAAGGGGTCACAGTGCTCAAAATAAGATGCTGAGGTTCAAGTCTGTTCTGCATAAATGCCTGATTAGGGCAGGATATCTTGTTGGAATCCAAGCAAGTGGCAAAGCAATACATAAATAAAATATGAAATTGAATTGGTGAGACTTCCCTGGTTTGCGATATGCAGAGTCCTTGGCAAAACTGTTTCCATGGCAAATGGTCAAGGAAACTGGGAAGAGGTAAAAGCAGCAGCAAGCCCTTTAGTCAGATGCATGGGAGCATCATGCACATGAACTCACAGCAGACAAAAATCCAGAGAACTGAGCTGTGTAGAGCTGGCACTGGTGTGGCAAACCTCTTTGTGCTCCTTGCCCTGTGCCACCAGCCATGCACAAGTGAGGTAGAGAGCAGGAGAAATGTGTGTGCAGGAGAGAAACGTTTTCAGTTATGGTGTTTCTGTCTCTTTGCCTTCTGTCTCACTGCTCTGTCAAGGCTGGTGCAGAGAGTGAAAAGGTGTGAAACCCTTATAATGCAAGCAGTAATTAGAGGGAAGCTGAGGAAACGAATGAATGGGCAGTGAATATTTTGCCTTCCAGTCCTCTGTATCTATTTATTAAATTACAGAGTGCAATGTTGCAATTAGAAAGATTAATTTTCATTATTCTGAGAAATTTCTCCCAAGAGGACTGCATTTGTCATCCTGTATAATGAAACCTGATTTTGACAGGTCCATCTGTAAGCAACGCTCCACCATGCAGATGCTAAGTGTGACTCATCATGCCACAAAAAGCAGGCCTGCATTTGAAGGGTGACTTTCCACTATGCCTCATCTGCTTACAGTTTTTTTTTCTTTTTTATTAAGGAAGCTTCTATTGTTCAGCATATAGGATCTCATCTAGTGCATTATCTTCATCTTGATAGAATTGATTCAGGAGCTGATACATCGAGTAATTGGAATGACCTAGGAGAGACTGTATCTGAATTTATAAAGAGGATCTGCACCGAAATAACCTATAAACAGGTAATAAACCAATCTATGGATTTCCTGGGGAAGTCTCATTATCAGCCTCCAACACCTCCTTAGGTTGTTCTCTTGGTATAAAATCCAGTTTATTACTTTCCTTTTAAAATAATGGATTATTCCGTTGGTCTCAGAGCTTTCTGAGTGATTTTCAGACTTTACTCTAGAAAAAAATAGGACTGTTTGATTATTCTTCTCCTTTTTGTGTTGCAGTATGGAGTAGTCAATTGGGAAAAGTGAAGAAAACCAAGAATTTTTCAGAGGCTAGCTTTAGAGGTTTCAGTTGTCAGATAATCTTGATGCACAGAATTTTTCCAGAAATTCACCATGAGAGTGATATATTCCTGATTTTTCATAATTTATTTTGAAAATTACAGTGATTACCTGGAAAAGCATTCTGAACAATTAGCTGCTAAGATATGGAAGTGTTTGAACATAGTGCTACTATATGTAATCTGTTAATTGAAAGTTTTCTTAAGATATTTTTTAAAATTATTTTAAAATATCAGAAGAAATCCTTCATGGTTTCTCTTACTGCATCACAATAAATGAGATTAGAGCATATATTTTCAAAGGCATTGGATGTAACTGTAAACTAGATAAGAGTTCTTAAATTCTCAGGAAAATCTTGGGTCAGGGGAGGGCCAAGGTTCAGATTCCTGCTTGTACTTGCAAGTCTGCTTTTATAGTCTTTGGGAGAACTTCTGCTTCAAGGCAGACCTAGATGCATCATTTCAATGGTGATAAATCACAAAGGAATTCTGCAGCTCTTCGCACTAAAGCATGCAAGAGGTCCGAATACCTTATTTTGTTTTGTTTTTCCTCTTGAAAACATTTGAATTTGCCACTGTTAGGAATTAGACCTGGGAAAAAACAGTGCCCTGAGAGTGATAAAGAGATGCTTGAAGTTGTTTGCCATGTGCAATTTGCTCACCTGTTTAGATCTGAATGGATGACTTGAACTGGAGTCAGAAAAACAATGTCCTCATCTGTAAGTAACCAGATCATGGTCATGTCATACCAAGCTGCTCTATGCCAGCCATGGTCTTAAGTGATAATTGGTATTTTTACTCACTTTGCTGTAAGTAGAGTTAATTTTGTATGGAAGACAAAAAGACAGAGGTGCTCTAACTCCCATGAAAATCTCTATAGTTTTAGATTGTTAGCATAATTGTAGTCTGAAACAGCTAATAGCAGCCAAAAATACATTTTAATATACAGACATTCTAGACAGTCCCATCACAAGGTTAGTTCTGAGCTTTATTAAAATCTCTGGGCTCAACTGTATACACTGTACACAGATATACACTGTGTACACTGTATACAACTGTATACAGATACAGTGTATCTGTAAAGGTTAATACTTGGTGGCAGACTCAAAGTGAGACTACATGATCTTTTCTTTCCCTATGAGAAGTAATACACTGACACTATACCATGTTTCTACCATTTTTGGCACTTTGAATGGTACAGTTTTAAAAAATATTCAGGGAACTGCTTTAATATAGTGGCTAATTCAGTGTGATTTATCTGTCATGTATATCAATACATATTTGATTTATATAAATAATTTCTGAAATTTAAAGTCCTGAGTGGCTGTGTCCTCTGTAAAGAGATTCCTGAGTCTTAGGGAAGCTTGTACATACCATGGAAAAGGGGTGTTAGTGAAAGCACAGAATCACCGAATACCTAAAGAGGAATTTGTTGCCTTAATAATCCCTTTAATACACCATGAATTTCCCCATGCAGACAGCCTAAGGATTCTGCAGACCGGTTCGGACTAAAGTTTAACCTTTCTGGTCCGCCTTCTATCTTTGCCCATGGAAAATGATTTCCCCCCCTTTACAGTCATAAGAGAAAACCGTGTCTTTCAGTGCTTCTGAATGCTCTTTGAAGAATTAGCTGCTAATGCATGGACGTATTTAAACACTGTGGTGTTACACAGGATCTGTGCAAACCCTGAAATCAGTGATTCTACTCAGCACCACTCCTGGAGAGGGGCACGTGGAGTCAGTTCTGGTTAAGAGAATGAGCTCTGTGTTGGCTGTGACGCTGTGTGACAGATGAAGGGGTAGAAGCAGTTCTTCCTTGGTTCTTTGTGTGGCTTTTTCTCACATATTTGACTGAGAACTATCAAACCATGGCAAGTCTGATTTATTTATTTATTTGGTCTTGTAGGTTGCTAGCTATTAGTTTTAAAGGTCCTTGGGGAGAGGTGGTAGAAAGCGGAGGAGAGGAGGGCATTTTCAGCTGATATTTTGCTGTTGTATTTTGATTTTACCAAGTCAAAGACTACAGTTTAAGACAGACAGTAGCTCCTGACATATAATGAATAAAACTCACTCCCATTGAGAGGCTTTGTGGGACTCTGTGGTCTATTGGAATGAGGGGTGTGCAGCACATTTAGCCTTAAAACAGCAACAAGCTTAATCTCTGTCTTGTTATAAACTTTTGAAAATCAGTGACTGTGTCCATTTTGTCTGCCTAGAGATTTCTGAATCTTTATAAATGAAGAATTTTACTTTTTCCTTATTATAGAGTTCTTTGACAGGTTGCTCTTTTTCCTCTAGAGTACTTCATTTCCTTGAACAGTTGTGCACATTGTATAGGAAGAAGAGCAATTTTCAATTTCTAAATAATACTCTCACTTCTTGTAATAAAAATAACTATTAAAATTCTAGCTGAGAGATTTGTTTACCATCAAAATAAGTCATAGCTAAACTTCACAGTTACTATTTAACTCTTTATCTTTTTCATGTATATATGCACATGCATGTGTGCACACATGTGCACACAAACATACTGTCTCTGTTAGGAAAAAGCAAAACAGAAAAGAAGTATTAAAAGTGGAAAGAAACATGGCAGGAATTAAGAAATGACATATCTGAAGATGTCTGTAGAGTCCAGTTTTTATATATGTAAACATAACTTCCTATTTTTATGGGTATATAAGCAGTACAGTATTTAATTCCTATTCTCTGCTGTCTGTTTTGGCCTCAACTCATCCCTTCATCATCTCCCTCAGGCTTTCTCTCTCTTCAATTTTTTCATAATTTCAGTCCCCTTCTCTGCCAAGTTGGTCTAAGACACAAACTGCAATATCAAGCTTTTTGGTTTTGCTATAAAAAAAGTCCTAGTTTTCTTTTCTTGAATCCTTATACCCCATATTTTTTCTCCTTGGGCATGCTATATGCGTTTATAACTGATGAAGGGAGCAATCTGCTTTTCTTTGGTGGCTGACATTTAACAGGGAGAGACTAAGAATACTGTTTCTGTGTTGCAGAACAGCATAGCCTAGAGTAGTAAGAAATGCGAGTTCTTACAAAATCCTTGATAGCTGCAGCCACAATTTGCAGCTGATTAAGCTTCACAAACCCAGTAAAATTCTGCTGATGGTGTGCAATTTAATTTTTCAATAATTCAGGTAGATAAAACAAACAGAGGGTGCATCTTACTCCTTCTACATAGATTATTCTATAATACACTATGAAAAGGCAAAGGGTAGTAGAGTGGAGTTCAGTCAAACTGGATCAGATGCTTTTACAGGGAGTGAAATGAATATGCAAAATAAACTTCAAACTCTGCTTCAAAGTACAGAGGATGTAAAGCTAAAAAGAGACAACTCAGCAGATTTTTTTCAGTTTGTCAAGACTAACTATTTTCCTCTGATCTTTTTTTGTGCTGAAGCTTTCCTCACACGTGCACACACAAATCATTTGATTTAGGTATTCAGTGCATGGAAAATTCCAGCCTAAATTATTTCAAAGTTCATGATAACCTAAGTAAGTGAAAACTTGGCTTGGGAATTTGAACAACCCTGTTGATAAATATTGTAACAATAAGCAGGGCAACTTAGGCAACAAACCCTTAGGCAACAAGCCCTACCCCTAAGAATAAAGACAGATGTCTAGTCCTTTTTCAAATAGTGAGTTTGCTTTCTTATGCTAATACTGTTTTATAAAAGAAATGCGTTGCACAGAAGAGCAAAGAATTCCATGAAATCAATTGACCAGTGTTATAAAACAATACACTTCAAATTAGGCCTTCTTATCTTGATAGAAAGGCCCATACAAAGAGAAAATGAAGTACTGGAGCTTCCTCCAGCCCAATAACCTTTTTCTTTACAGCTAGTCTCCGCTGTCGGATATACATGACACATACTAAATGGTTCAACAGATAGTGGTTTGTACTGGGCCTCAAAATTAGATCTTTGTTTAAAACATTTTAAATTAATATAGTAGTTATAACGAGAAAAACAGATTGAAGGAAAAAAAGCACTTGTGTTTGAATAAAAGGCATAGGTATTTTCCCTTTTCATTTTGAAATATCTTTTAGTTACAGTGAGTTTGTGTGCAACTTTTAAGAGTATTTAGAGAATCCTACCAGTTGACTGAAGGGTCAATTCCACTAGATAGACAAAAAAGGAAAAAAAAAAAAAAGAGAGAGAGAAAAGAGAGAGGACAAACTGGTCCAAGAAATGGGTTTTCTGCCTACTGACCCTGTTTTAACGGATTGCAAATGTAGGCTGGCAGCCAGGGCTGTTGGAGAGTTTCGCTAGGAAGGGCTATTGCCAAATACCCTGCCCATACACAGATATTCCAAGGGGAGTTAGCTTGGGAGTTCTAGCTTGTCTCTGCAAATGAAAGGATGTCCTGTAATGTGTTCCTAGGATCTAACTGACCTGCCTACATTGAAGCTTTTCGCTGAACATGGTGATGAGCTTGATTTTTTGTGACTGCAGACTAGCTAATCATTTCCATGAAGGAGATTTTCTAACCTGTTTTCCATGTGATCCAAAAGCTTTTGTGAATATCTGGCCCTTTGTCACACACTGAAGCCTACTGACAGTATCACGTTTTTTAAAATTCTTTTCACTGCTCTCTAAAAAGTAATATATGAACTTCCAGTTGTCTGTTCTTCAGCTCTTTCTGAAATCTTGAGCACTGCCTCTGAGGCTTAGCCCTGGGAATCCGTAATTTCCTTTCTTTTTTTTTTCCCAA